GGGAGGGAGGGGGATTTACACGTTTGGAACAATCCTGTTTAGTGTTCATGAATAATATTAATTATTTGAGATAGTAATTTGGCATTTTTAGTCTTCATTGTTCAGCGTTGTTCTTATTTAACTATTTCCTTTTTTTAGTGGCGTATGAAAGGATGTGATTTACTGATGAAATAATAAAAGTCAGTAGAAAATGTTGTAAATATTCAATGCTTTATAATTTTCTGCTTTTTAAAATAGGCCAATGAATTTTTTAAATTCAATTTGGAGTCCTGCTGTGTTTGAGTTACGTGTATATTTCTGTTTTTATGCATAAATCAGTAAGAAACTGTAATACACCAGTTTCTCCGTGACCACACAAACACTGAATATGAATGTGTAATATATATATATGTATATATATGTACTGAATATGTAAATGTTGCAATGTGCCAAAGGCTCAATTAACCATTTTGGTATACCTGTCCATCAATAAAAGTGCAGAGGTGTGTGTGTGTGTGTGTGTGAGAAAGAGAGAGAGAGAGAGGAAGAGGGGGGGTGACGGATGGAGGAAGAGAGCAGTTTATGTAACAATCCTAACTCTGAGCATTTCTGAAATATCAGAGCCACACTGCGGAAAAAAACCCCTGCAACCTCCATGACTCTCCTCTACACCCTGCACACCCACGCACATGCACACAGACACACACACACGCACATCGTCTGTCACTACCAATCTCTTCAGTCTCTGACTCTGTAAGCCCAGCAGATCTTTTTTGGCCATAGAGTGATTAATGTGTTTGTGCACCTGTCACTATTCATGCATTCATGTATGGGTGTGAAAGTGTGTGTGTGTGTGCGTGTGTGTGTGTGTGTATTTCATGTTAGCAATCTATGTATTGTTTTGTGAATAAGATGCATATGTGTGCACAGTAGACTGATTAAATCTCATGTCAGGTTGAAGGAGGGAGTTTTGACCAAAGCGCTGCCAATGAACAGCAATGGTCTAATGAATCGTAGCTGGCGTGGCCCCCAACTCTGCATTCATAAAGTGATATTAACTCTGCTACCTGGTATTTATGGGGCGCAGATCTATTGGAGCTTTTATAAAACCAACAGAAAAAGAACACAAAAAGAGGAATTGATCACGCTGTGTCCATCTTCTCTATAACCATATCAGATGTCAGCATGCCTTAATCCAGCAGTGCTCGCCATGTGTTTTCAAAGACAAAGATAACATCATAAAAATACAGAATTTTTTTTTTGTGGTTACAAGTTAGAAAAAGCCCCATTTAGGTTTAGGAGATACAGATCAAAGGTCGGTTGCTTTAGCCAGACTTGTGTTAGCAGGACCTTAGATGAACTCAACGATTAATTATTTTCTCACGTAAAGGTCAAGTATAGGCACTGTTTGTAAAACAGTCTAACCACTTATTCTGCTGGGACGAGAAGAGGCAGACCATGTGTGTGTCGCGAGGATCTTTGGCCAAACATAGTTGAAGTCATCTGACAATGTTCCCGTAGTGTTGAATTTTTAATGTTTAGTTGCCATTTTATTTACCTAGAAAGAGGTTTTGCTGCTGTGGGACCAGGTTTGAACTCGGCCTTCCTTTTGACCTCAACTACACATCTGACTGCATCTGGCCAGCTATAAAGGTTAGACAATATTTCCACACTCAATTAACACCTACATAAAAGTGCTTCAGTGGTGCGGTACATGTCTGCAGGATATTGCCATGATGACTCACGCACAGACGTTTCAGGGTGAAAACAATTGGTGATAATACACTTTAATTGTATGGTTAACTTTATACACCTGATGAGAAGAACGCTGCACGTAATTCCACTACTGTTGACATTGTAAAATATGTATTCCATGAGAGACCGGGAGGCTAAACAGGCCTGGCAACAGGAACGGGGGGAGGGCTTACAGGGTTGTTCTGCATCAAAACAGTGTGAGGGGACGAAAGTGGGCGAAATCTTAACTGACTGATCGAAATTGAGTAAACTGAAGCTCAATCTAATTTGTCCAGAAACACTTTCTTTGTTCATGGAAATCACGCCCATTTTCACCTAAATCCTATTTACATTTTTGTAATAAAAAAAAAAGAAAAACATTATATATTTTTTACCACTCACATCAATCACAAGTTAGACATTTGGGACGTATTTGGTTGAGAAGTAAAGAAAAAAGTATTTATTTTGACCTGTCACAGTGAGCCAGCATGCACAATGCCAGGACTCAAATGGAATTCAGCCATCAATGATGTTATAATTTAGGTTACAACTGTGCTGTTCTGTTCAGGTACAAATCCAATTGTGTGCGCTAACAAATTCCAGGGAAGGTGTTTTAACACAAAATGGGAGACTCGTTTAAGACATTTTGCACACTTTATTGAATCAAAGATATTCTTAAAAGACCATCGTCACAAAAAAAACGATCACCATGCATTGCATTCATCTGCTCATTAAAAAAAAAAAAAAATCATGAGTGTGCTGCGTTAGAAGTGACAGTACAGCTGTTTATTTTGACTCATTCGTCACACGAAGCGGTCGAGATTTGCTTAATTATTTCAATTCTCCTTCCAAGCCAACAACTGAGTCAAGTCTCTCAGACACAAATAACCTGTGCACAGGAACAAAATGTTTTCTCTCAAATCTCAACACACACACACACACACACACACACACACACACACCCTGTCCAATTACTGTGGCCATGGCAACTATCAGAGATTATTGCTTGCAGTCAGCACTGCACGGCTGTTACACGAGGCTAAGCTCCTTCGTATCTCAGGCCTGCACACACACACACACACACACACACACACACACACATACACACACACACACACACACACACACACACACACACACACACACACACACACACACACATATTGAAGCGGGCTGCTGCAAGCAAACACTCCCATCTCTGAGTGTCTCTTGCTGTCTCTTACTCTTACACACACACACATTCAGCCTGAATTAATCCTTCTCTTTGTAGCCTTAGAAGCTAAATTGGTCGCCCCAGCAACCAATCGTAAAGCCCTTTCAAAGCAAAAAAAGGCACACCGAAAACGCATTTTGTCATGATGAATAGAAATATACCGTGTTGGATAGAATTGAAAGTGGGCCGGTGTAATTTTCTGAAAAAGGATTTGTTTTTTTTTTGGGGGGAGGGGGAGAGATGTTCAGATTGCCTCAGCCTACTCTGCAACATTTTTCTACATCTTTGTTTAACGTATTTAAGCCGGTTCATTTCCTTAGATTGGGGGTGAGGACGGCATGTATTTCGCGTGCTTGCGTTTCCGTGTGCGCGTGTGACATTTTGCAGCCGCTTGTCTGTGCGCACGTTCGCCCGCGGATCGTGCATGTGATGGGAGAGAGAGATACGCCTCAAGGACTCTCCTTGTGTCGTCACTGTCCTGCAACACACAAACACAGGCGCACAGTCTCTCTCTCTCTCTCTCTCTCTCTCTCTCTCTCTCTCTCTCTCCCACACACACACACACACACACACACACACACACACACACGCGCGCACATACCTCCAGACATGTATGACACACACTCCCTAACAAACACTATGTTGGCCCGAACACAAATGGCAGCTGGCAAAGCTGCGCAAGCCGAGCATGAAAATATGCGGAACTTTCTCTGTCCTCCGGCGGGTTTCTAAATTTAGACCTCTACGTTGTGGTTTTTTTTTTTCTCGCATTCGCGCATTTCTTGGTACACATTCTCGTTTCCAAAATGAATAAATCCCGCCTTGAAAAGACAGATCTACATTAGTTTGACATAAACAACAGAGATGTTCAACGTTTTGTTAAATAAGAGACAAATGCCTTGATTTCCAGCCATCGCCACAGCGGGAGGCATTTCTGAAGCAGGCTGCAAAAAATGTGATGACACTTTTGCTCATCCGTGTCACAGCAGATTATCGAGGCAAACGCGAGGTGCTTCGTATATTCCCGAGGATTAGAGCTGCGGTGGAGAGAGGAAAAAGAAACTCTACCATGGGATTTTTTTTCCAATAAAACGGTCTCAAGTATATGCACACTATTATAGACAATAAGGTACATGAAGTCCGTGATCCATCAAGGAAGATTGTTTTCCCTTTTAATTCTATGTGTAAGAAGAAGAAAAAGCGCAGGAGGAGATTGCGCCGTTTTCTCTTTTTTTCTGCGTTTGAGGAGCTGTCCGCGGTGCTGTCGGGGCTCTGTGGCATCTGGCCAGCTGCAGGATGTTCATCACATCAGCAACGAGTTGCATCCCTTCACGGCCTGCCGAGCATGCTCATCTGGAATCAAGCTGTTAAATGAGATGGAAACTTAAAACCTGTACACGTGTGCATTCACAGCACGGGGATCTGAGCAATAAAAAGTCGCAGTCATTTAAATATTTGAATATGAACGTGGGCCGTACATTTTGTGTGGAAATAAGCTACTTGGATCTGTAACAATCAGACATTTATTATATTAAAAAGTTAAAAAGGCAAATATTATGAATGTTATTTAATAAAAACATGTATCATTCTTTAAACATATCCGGCCTTTTGTCTGGGCAGGGAACACCCATGACGCGCGTGGGCCGCTCTCGATTTCAATTTCAAAAATAGTTTACAGTTAAATTGTTGAAATGTTATTTAAAAAAAATTGTAAATACAACGAAAAATTGATGTACGAATAAAGAAAATGTTCTTGGTATTTTTCATGGCCCGTGTGTTAAAGTATCTCAGCTCTGTATGTAGCAGGCCTCACCACGCTGTTCGTTCACTGTCGACCTGTTGACAGAATGTAGCATGAAAGCAGAAAACATATTTGATATCTGCATTCATGCACAATGTCACGAGCAATTATGTATTACTGCTGCCTTTAAATAACCTGTCCGTTTTTTCCTCGTGATCCTCTCCCTCTCTCTTCTTCTCTCTCCATCTCTCTCCCACTCTCTCTCTCTCGCTCTCTCCCTCTCCCTCTCTCTCTCGCTCTCTCTCCCCTCCCTCTCCCCTCTCTCGCCCCTCTCTCGGTGCTGCAGTCAGTCACAGATTCCCTCGCTGCCACCAAAAGGGACCCACAACTGACACACAAAACAAATGCTAAGGTGTCTTTTTTAGCGACACATGAGGACATACTCTCCGTTTTTGGGGGCGTTTCCCACGCGAGGCGGATGCCGAGGAGTGTGTGTGTTTTTTAGGGAGTAATATGGATGAGCAAGCCAAGAGAAGAGGCTGAGGATTTTTCTTTTCACGTTTTTTTTTTCTTCTTCGGGTGAAGCAGTTTGGCGACCGTCAGAGGGCTCGTGCAGCTTTACTTTGCGACGACGACCGAAGGGGCAACAAGCATGACTTTACAGTAGCGGATCAAACCGAGAACAACCCACCCTGCATGCATCTGCCTCGTTTTCTTCTCACTCGGTGATATCATTTTCAGTTGAAGAACGTGTCTTATTTTTTATTTCTTTGTCCGGGCAAAGATGGCTCACCTAATACGACACAAGCTCTCCAACAAGCTGACCAACGCGGCCCACACGGTCTCCAACAAATCCCAGGCCAAGGTCAGCGGGGTGTTCGCCCGACTGGGCTTCCAGGCCGCCACGGATGAAGAGGGAGTGGGCTTCGCCGAGTGCGACGACTTGGACTACGACTACAGGCACGGGATGCAAATGGATGTCCTCCAGGGAGAAGAGGAAGGGGGCCAGCTGGAGGGAGAGGGGGAGCTGGACGGAGACAGTCACTACCAGAGGGACGGCACCGGCCGTGGGCCCTCGTCCTTAAAGACGGGCGGCTCGCTGGATGAGGACAAACCACAAATCACGACGTGGGAAGCGGGCTGGAACGTCACCAATGCCATTCAGGTAGGCGCGATCGTCGTGCGTGTGCGCACGCAACAGGGTCGCGCTGCGTGGAGCGGGCCTGCGACAGGACCAAGAGTCACCTTGAACCGAACATGTTCATATTATAGGATTTGTATTTCAAGATGCCAGCCTTCTCTGGGCATGCGTATTATTTCGTACAATTCGAGAGAATATAACAGACAATATGTTCAATTTGGTCGATGGTTTTATATTTTAAATGTTTTAATATAGCTCATTTTTTTATCATAATTAATGCAGACTTCAATTGATCGTTTCATTTTTGGTTTGAGAGTAAATTCCTTGCAGCCAATGGGTGTTAGAATTGATATATTCAAATCGTTTTATCAGTGGAGCTGCAGGCAGGGCCTGCACGGCTTTGATAGCCCCGCGGCTGAATGGCACCCACGTCCTTATCAGCGTCTCCATCAAATTGAAATCGTATCCAAATTCGTTTAAAAAAAAATTGTCTTTTAAATTCGATTCAGCCCATCGTACACGCTAACGAAGGGCCTGTTTTTCAAGGGCAATGCGAATGAACAACATAACTGCGGGGCGGATACTGGAAATGAATCCACTGCGGTATTCATTTCTGCGTTGCATAGTCACAGAGATTATATATACATATAATATATATATATATAGATTTTTTTTATATATTTATATAGATAGATAGATAGATGTCACAGTTGTTATGTAAGATGTGAGCCCTTGCACGCCTGCGCTGGTTCGGCCTGTCACTGCGATGTGGGCCTCTTCCATTACCGCTCATCTCGCTTCTCTGTCTGCAGGGCATGTTCGTCCTCGGCCTGCCTTACGCCATCCTCCACGGCGGCTACCTCGGTCTCTTCCTCATTATCTTCGCGGCCGTCGTGTGCTGCTACACCGGGAAAATCCTCATCGCGTGTCTGTACGAGGACAACGAGGACGGCATCAAAGTGCGCGTTCGGGACTCCTACGTCGACATCGCCAACGCCTGCTGCGCGCCCCGCTTCCCGGCGCTGGGCGGCCACGTGGTGAACGTGGCCCAGATCATAGAGCTGGTCATGACCTGCATTCTTTACGTTGTGGTCAGCGGCAATTTGATGGTCAACAGCTTCCCGGGCTTCCCGATCTCCCAGAAGGCGTGGTCTGTGCTGGCGACGGTCGCGCTCCTCCCTTGCGCGTTCCTGAAGAACCTCAAGGCCGTTTCCAAGTTCAGCTTGCTCTGCACTGTCGCGCACTTCATCATCAACATCCTCGTGATCGCCTACTGCCTCTCGCGGGCGCGCGACTGGGCCTGGGACAAGGTCAAGTTTTATATCGACGTGAAGAAATTCCCCATTTCCATCGGCATCATAGTGTTCAGCTACACCTCCCAAATCTTCCTCCCCTCCCTGGAGGGAAACATGCAGAAGCCCAGCGAGTTCCACTGCATGATGGAGTGGACTCACATAGCAGCCTGCGTCCTCAAGGGCCTCTTCGCCCTGGTGGCCTACTTGACTTGGGCAGACGCCACCAAAGAGGTCATCACAGATAACCTGCCTTCAACCATCCGGGCCGTGGTGAACCTCTTCCTCGTCTCCAAGGCGCTGTTGTCTTACCCGCTGCCGTTCTTTGCTGCAGTCGAGGTTCTGGAGAAATCCTTTTTCCAGGATGGCGGGAGAGCCATCTTCCCTGACTGCTACGGGCCAAACGGGCAGCTGAAATCCTGGGGTCTGGGACTCCGAATTGGCCTGGTCGTCTTCACTTTGCTCATGGCCGTCTTTGTCCCCCATTTTGCCCTCCTAATGGGTTTAACTGGGAGCCTCACGGGCGCTGGGCTGTGCTTCCTCCTGCCAAGCCTCTTCCACCTGAAGCTCCAGTGGCGGAATCTCCTGTGGCACCACGTCTTCTTCGACGTTGCCATTTTTGTTATTGGGGGCATATGCGCCATATCTGGCTTCATTCACTCAGTTGAAGGACTCATAGAGGCGTACAGGTACAATATCCACGACTGATGTGCTGAAGTTGTCGTGACGCCGGACAACCAAAACATCACTTGACAAAGAAGCTCATGAGGATGATTATTTGTGTGAAATGTACATCTTTTTTTATTTTGCCTTTGTGATAATGTGCAATAATAAACTCTTCAATCATAGTATTAAGTATTCTACTCATTCCAGAAAATGTGTTTTATTGACTGGACAGAGGAATACAGCCTCCGCATGAAAGGGGGGAATAAATACAGTATGTGGGCATTAACAAGCCGGTCCAGGTATCAGTCTACATGCAAAGTTGTCAAAGATCCAGTGAAAGTGTCTACCATGGGTCTTACTGTGTATACGTGTTTATATCTGGGGAATGAAATATGTGAAAAACAATGGAGTGAATATGTAATTATTGGTTTTTGAGCTGCTCAATATATCATTAATCCCACTGCAGAGAGAAAATACCAATGCACCCATCAGATCAGAGGGTGCTCTGTGGAATAAACCATTAAAAAAACGTATGTGTAGCTGTTTAAACAACTTTATTTCACTTTGTTTGCGTTTTTGTGCTTTATTTTCCATCTTATTGCTATAGTAGTCCTTGTTGGCTCATTTGTTTTCTTGGTGTTTCGAGTGTCATTCTGGATGAAGTGAATTCAAAGTGCAAGCAAGTGGGTCCTAACTGTGTTATATGAAAAAGATGTCTGTCTGATAATATTCTCTTCCTATTGAACTTGTTAATTGTGATTTAATGGAACTAACCATGGTGTGTGAGAAAAAAAGAGTATTTGTTGAATTAAGAGATAAATAAATTAAGTATTTTATGGCTGGTGATTCTAATGATTCTTTGAAAAGTCCCCGGGATGACTCAGAGGCCTCGCTGGTTTACTTTCTCTTTCAGTTCCACTGTCTTCAAATGTGAAAGCTTCCCTTTTCTAAAACAACGATATGAGCCTGTCGGTTCCCGCTGCAATGTTATTAATGTTAACATTAACCAATCAAAATAATCATTGACAGGTGGCAAAGGTTTCCAAAATCAGCGTTTAGCCGACTGTTTGAAAACCTCCCCCTGTTGATTGTCAATATGTCTGCGATCAGTTGCCTCCAGGTGCACATGTGATGATGAACACTTCCTTTTTATGATAGTTGGAAATTTTAAGAATGAGGATGTTGTTCACATGACTTGTTCCTGTTTAACAACACTGATCTTGGGTATTGAACTTTAACAGTACCAGTCAAATGTTTGGACACATTTTCTCATTCAACTTAAATAAGAAAGTGTGTCCAAACTTTTGACTGGTACATTTTGTTCAACGCTCCTCGTAAAACGTTTGCTTTGTTTTTTGACACACTAGATGGAAGTATTTGAACAACACAAAGTCCACCAATGCTACACACACACCCACACCTTTTTTCAGTAAGTTTCACTTCTCAGTAACACAGGAAATATAAGCTGCTGCTGATCCAAATCATAGAGTCGGCGAGGACGTTTGTTCAGGAGCCGACTTCAAACTTGGCAAAGACGCTTTATTGATTAAGGTGAGTGATGCAGCATGTGACCGCAGGTACGCTGAGGTACGCTCTAAAACGGCATTTTAGATTTCAGAACGCACATTTCACATTGAAACGTCTCAGAATTTTGTGGAATGCTTCAACAAGTATTTGGTACATTGCCCAGCAGGAACGCAGCAACATGCTCCAACCCGTGATAGTGGGACTCGTGCTCATTTCCTGCACTTGTGCAGAAAATCCAGGAGTACAAGTCATCTTGACTGACAAAGGACTGCAGTACGGTGAGTCGGCGTGGGATTGTGAGGTTTATTAAAACCAAAAGCAATTGTTTCTCAAGGACTTAAATTGCTTTTCAGCTACGTACGTATTTTTCACAAAACAGTTCAGGAAACACGCTTCATTGAAAATGATTAAAACCGTTTATGTGTTGCTTGTCCCAGGAAAGCATCTGGGTGCAGGATGGATTCAAGAGAAGCTGCCCCTCGTCACTTTCCCCGACATCAACGGTCGACTCCTTGGCAGCATATACTACACGCTATCGGGGTAAGGTCACGTTTGACACTTGGTTTGTTTCATGTCATCACACATTTTCACATTAGTTGGGGTCTGAGTCCTCACGCCGGTCTTTGCTCTCCCCGCGCGCACCAGAGTCACCATAACCAAGTGTGACCTTCCAGAGCCGTCCGTTGAGTTCTATCAGGAGGTCAATGGGGTGAAGACATCCGTCTCGGGCCTCAGTGTTGCAGTAACCGGCAGGTGGACGACACAGTTTGGCCTAATGTGAGTGTCCCCAAATCTCTGCGTTACATTTAAACTGTGACCGCACAGCGGTTCACTCAAGGTTTGTTGGGTTTTCGGAGAAACAAGCTAATCCAGATATCCTTTAAGATTTTATTCTTATGTTGCATCAATGCACCAAGTGGGATTCCTCTATGTGTAACATATGTGGCAATAAATGGCTGCTGATATTGATTCTGATTCTTTATAATATTAAATCATACAATTATAATTCGCAAATTTCACCCTTCAGTTTGATAAATTTACTTAAAGCTGAATTGAGGAACTGAGAATACAATTCTCGCTTTTGTGTTCTTAGTTAAGGACAACTAGAAAAGGAAGTCTCGCCTCAAACAATGTGTCTCTTGTGAGAAACATCATTGCCTTTGAGAGTCAAAGAGAACCGCTCTTTTGCTTTGTTTCTTTTGGTCTTTTGAGGAAGTTAAATTTTTCGGCCTCACTGCATAAGGGTTTTTACCACTACACGCATCTCACGCGATACAGAAAACACTAACATTTTTATAATGCACCCATAGTACGCCATAACCTGAACAAACTATTGAGGTCAGTCTGCTTTCTTGTGTGTACGTCACACCCCCACACACACACACAGGGCCGTGGCTACACCGACTTTGTTTGTGCGTGTGTTTCAGACATGACGGGGGCTCATTCAACCTGGCTTTGTTCAATATGGATGTGACCTCTGAAGTGGCGCTGGGGAAAGATGATGGCGGGCATCTGTCCGTCACAAGTGTCCACTGCAATACTCGGCTTCAAGATGTGAACATGCAATTTTATGGTGGAGCGAGGTACAGTAAGACTCAAGGAGAGGGGGAGGACACAACGAATACTGATGTCCGGATGTGAGCCCTGCATTCTCATTTGTCAACAGCTGGATGTTCAACCCTTTGGTGGACTATTTCAAGGGACATATCAAGAGTAAAATAGAGGCTGCAGTAAGTGTGTACCGTCTTCATATTTGTCGGCTGAGGGTCTGTTTATGCTGTAGATTTTTTTGTAATGACAATTGCAGAACATTTGTATGCTTTCTTTCCTCCCTAGATCTGCCCTGCTGTGGACGAATACATCGCAAACCTGGAGTACCACCTACAGGCCATGAAAGGTACTGCAGCAGCCCGCCTCCTCACAACAAATGATCGTGTTGATATCAGTTACTTCGTCCAGAGGTCAACAATGTAAATCAACGAATAGATGATTCTTATATTTTTTTACTTTCATCAGTTTCCTTTGATGTGGATGAAAACGTTACTTTTGACCTGCCTCTCATCAGCATACCCATCGTTAATGCTTCTAGCATGAATCTAGGTCTTAAGGTAAAGATGAACACACACTACAAGCTGTTTGCCTTTAGAAAAAAAAATCTTTAAGGCAGATCTTTGAAATAAATGATGACATAACACATAACTATAGGTTAGTGCCCAAGTTATGTCTTGTGGTAATCATTTATTTTAAGAGCTACTGCCAGAACAAAGGGAAATAAAGAGTAACCACAACAAAGAGGGTTTAACAGCTGCAATTGAAATGAAACGTTTTATTTTAAAGGGAGAATTCTACAGCGTAAGACCTCGCATAGACCCTCCCTTTGAGGCCCAGCCTTTCACCGTGGAGAAACAGCCGGGCTACATGCTGTCAGTGGGCCTCTCTGAGTTTACTCTGAACTCCGCCTCGTTTGCACTCCACTCAGCCGGCCTGCTGCAGACCATCATCACCGACAGCATGGCAAGAGCCCCTAAAGAACACGATGGCAAAACGCTACCTTTCTGCCCTGATATTTGTCCACCGTTAAAAACGCTCTGCTGTCATCTCAGATACCTCCAAACATCCCTGTACACCTGAACACCAGCTGGATGGGTCCTTACGTTCCCCAGGTAAGTGTACATTTGGCAGCAAGGGTTTATTTACTCTCTGGATGAAGGGATTCATGGCAGCAAGTGTCACATATCGTGTAGAGTATTACATTTCAGTGAATCTTTAAACAGTCTCATTCATTGCCGCGTGTCCTTGTGCATGAGCATTTGATTGCAACCTATATAATTACAATATCTCCTGCAAGAAAAAACATTGTATACTGGTGTGGGACGGATTTCTACTTTTATTTTCATAAACCGGTGCAGACAGCAGACGTGCAAAGCCATGGATTTCATCTAATTGCTTTAACTAACTCAATTTTGTCACCACAGAGGTTTAAAACGTTGTCTTTCACATTTTACAGCCCACTTTGATGAACCCCCTTTTATTGTGTTCACTTCCTCACTAGTTTGCCGCCTGCAACATTTGGAAAAATAAATACTTCAATGGGAAGAACCCAAAGGACTATAAAAATCAGCGCATTATAACAGGAGTCCGTCCTTTTCATTGTCTGCAGCTTGTATCTCTCCCTGCTTGGATTTCTGCAAAGTGGAATCTCAACCTTTTGAATCTTCAGCATTTTCTCATATTGCTATTTCTTCTCTCTCTCTTGCTTCAGCTTCCCAAGATGTTTCCCGGACTTCTGATGGTTCTGCAGATCTATGCCAGAGAAGTGCCCATGTTTTCCTTCCAGTCTGGAGTTGTTAAGCTGCCTATTGAGGGCGCTGTTAAAGCTTTCGCCATCCAGCCAAATGGGACCCAGATCCCACTGTTCAAACTCCATGTCGTGAGTACCTATTAGTCTTCATGTCAACAAAGTGGCTGCACAGTGGATATTATATACGTACATTTAAGATAAATTACAACCAATGGTAAGAGTAATGAAATTAAATAAACTATTATCATTTATGAACACTGTTATTTATTAAATATAAATTCTAAAACAAGTTCTCTAATGGGGATTCCCGCCACGGACTAAACATCCGATCGAAGGAAGATTGATCCTCACAGTGCAAGTTACTCAAACCGCTTTCTGTCAGGAGTCACAGCTGGGCGGTAAAGCACGAGTTGAGAAGGCCCCCTGAAGCCCTCCGTACACAGGACAAGTGAGCATCGCCATGTTTTGGAAACATTAAACGTTGGCTCTGTGACATTTCTTTAATATGTTACTTTCAAACAGCTTCACACTGGCGCTGGCTTCGAGTGAAGTGGGAACCTTTCAGGTACACGACAAATGACAACACGCCCCGTGTGCGCTCAAACCACAGCGACTGAAACAAACCACGTTTCTCTTTGCAGACGGGCGCTTTGGAACGCGCAATGAAGGTCGGGCTGTCGCTGGGCTTTGTTAGACTCAACGGTGAGTCTGCTTTTGTGGCCCCTTGGACGAGCCCATGCTATTAACACCATGAACCAGAGCAGATGGATGAATGCGTTCTGTCCTTCACAATATGTCGATACAATCCAACAAACTGAACATTACTTCTACTCCTCATTGAGCCCCGAGTTTACCTCTCTGTTTCAGCGGAACTAGGCAAAGGTGCGGTTTTACCCAGAATGAAAAACGCACAGCTGGTCAACACAGTTCTGGGGATGGAAAAGGTAAGAGCTAGTGAAAGATTACTCATGTCGGGTGAATGTTTGGCTTATTGGAGAATAGTTGTGCAATTAGGAGCAGAACGTGTTGTCTGGCTGACCTTTGTCTTTTTTTTATTAACAGGGATTTGTAGCCATCGCGTCAGACGTTCAGGTGTTGCTAGCAGGCGTCAACTAACAATTGGCCCGTTTAACTCACCGAACACGGACGCCCAGCAAACTGCGTTTAAGCTTCATCTGCCATCGTCTGGATTCTGGACTGTAAACGATTCTCAAATCTGGCTACGCAGTATATAAACATAACGTACACGTCTACAGCATTCACGTCTGTCAACAGTTAAAACCTGCATTTCCTCTTTGTAAATGTCTCATTTGAGATATTCAGGCTCTAATGGGATTTCTGTTTCAAACAAGGTATCATGATGCACGTTGTTGGTTTCACCAGCGTTCACAATGTTTCCACAGTTACGTTTAACCACATACGTACTCACAGCGCTGCATGATGGAGGCGTGAGAATTGTACTTGACAGCAATGACACACGATGACCTCTGGATGTAAACTTGAATTTAATGCAAATTGTGAATCCCAGGAATATGTATTGATTTATCTGCATTCAGTGTTACTGTTATAAACATGTACACTTGCTTGGTTTCTGATACACTTCTCTCAGTATCATTAAGTGTTAGGAGCCAATCACCTGAACATTCCAACAAGGTCCAAGATAATAAAGAAATGGATCCAGGCATCTCTGATTAATTCAGTCCTTTTAGTTTTGAGGGGTGAAAACAGAAGAGTTGACATAAAAAAGAAGAAATTACCACCAAATCAATGAAAGAATGACACCTCTTTATTTTGAAACATTTCAGTGTGCACTCTTAGAACCTTTTACATGTTCACATTCTTGGAATGTAACACCGCCAAAATATAAATATAAGCCTATTTACAGCCACTGTTACTATAAGACTGTTTACTATAGAAAAGCGTCACACTTGGGTCATGAAAGGAGACACTGTGGTTACCGGCTGGCTGATGGGTCAGTAATTAGACAGTTGACCCGACTAAATACTGTGATCCTGAGTTGGACCTGATGGAGGACTTGATTATTATTAACAAACATTTAAAAAGCCCAACTGAACTGGAAGCAGGTGTGAAATAGTCTGACCCACTGTGAAAACACGGATCTACCTAACAGACAAATAGCTTTCATTGAAACAAAAACGTCAGCGTAGAAGCGTCCTCATTAACACCCCAAAAGGAGGGAAGAGCAGGAAAGGCCAAACAAGGACAGTGATGTTGCCTCTGTCTTAATGAACTGTGGCGTCTGCATAGCAAACTATGACATACTTTAAAATGATACCATTATACAGGAGTATAAATAAAATGGTTGGGGTATTAAATCAGTGATCCTGAGTGTGACCCTGCAGAGCTCCTAATGCAAAACCGCTCAATGTTCACAACAACTTTATTTTGCAACTCTTCACTTTTAAAGGACGTCCCGCCTTTTTAAGTGCATTTCAGTATACGTGCTGAAAATAAGTTAACATTCAGTATGGACAGTATTACACTTTGACACATCAGTGTAATAGATGATACTAACAACGCTAACAAAGACATAGACTTGTATGGCCAGAATCTAGTCCGCCATGCTGGTAGAAAAGAGTCTCAGGTGTAATGGAACTAGTAACGCTGCAGGAGTATTACAGCGCCATGGAAGTACGCCCAGACGGTCCTCCCGATCTGGCTGCAGCTCACAGAAAATTGTGAGCAAGTGCATGTGTTTCATCAGCTCGCTGAGTGATCTCACATGGACGTGCAACACGCCTGGAGCACCGACATCAAACAAGTGCTGAAGCAGAGCGTCACTAGAACACAACCTGTTTGCATTTGTGTGCATGAGATCATTTGGTCGGTCCTGTTGTACAAAGTAAGTTCATTAATCCAGAAAGAGTTTGAAACAAGTGACTTCATTTCAGATGTTAGATTTGGAAGAGATTAGAAGAGAACATTGGAGAGGGATGAAGGGGGCTGACAAGACATTGATGAAATGTGGAGGCACCAAGTGAATTAAAAAACTGCAGTCCAATTCAACCCCGTTTGTTATTTTTGAAAGTCATCAGTTCAACTCCTCGTCACTGCCCGCGGTCTCGAGTACTGAAGTCGCCCGCGCAGAAGGCAGAGGAGGGACAAACACACAGAAGCAAACGTACGTAGGGCCGACGGAGGGGGCTGGGGTTATTAGGCTGTTTTGGCAGATTAGGTGATTGTTCATGATGGTGGAGAGACCAGCGGGGAGGAAGAGGCGCGGATCATTTGTCTGCGACTGCTGCCACCATCGACGCACGGATAGTACCCCGAGCGGTTGCTGCCAACTCCTCGATCTCTGTGTTCAATCGTCTGATGACCCATTCCATTGCCTCCCGACCCTGAGACAGACGGAGGGACAGTGTTATAGGACACAATGTGTAATGACATGCTCGCTGCTACAACCAGAGATCCCGAGTGGAGTCATCAGGAGAATTTAAGGGCTGCTTCACCTTGCCGGCATTTGTAGAAATGGTCTTGGCCATGAGACCCTCGAGGTAGCTACTCAGACTGATACCTTTCACACTGATCTGAGCCTCTTGTGTCAGCACCGTCCTGAGAACGCAATTACACAAATAAAAAGTGAGAAAACCGTACACATAAAGTAAAAACCCTTACAGATTTTAAATCCAGTCTATAATCTTACAATAGAAACTACAAAACAATATTGTAAACTTAAGACATAACATGTTTGTTATTGACTTTGAACTAAAACGATATTACTGTCGTAAGCATAAAAACAGAAAGGACTAGAGATAACTAGGAACTAATTATTAACCATGACAATATATATTGCTGGTGACATCTGTCATTCATAAAAGAAAACCTGTCATTTACTTTTCAGGATCCTGTGGATGTGGCTTGTAGGTCAACTTCTCATCCACAGAAACGAGGTTGGTGAAGGAGATCTGGACGGACAAAGGGAAGAATGTAGTATTTACATTGTCTATAAGCATCACAATAAATGTAACAGCAGCTGAGTGAGAAGAGAACTCGACACTGTTGGAGGTATAACTGAGAACAGTAACAATGGTTCCAGCTGGTACGCAGCAATTGTAAGTGTTCGATTTGGAACCTGTGTTTGACAAGTGAAACGTCCCCTGATAAGAGTATCATTAGACAGACCATTCGCCAACTCCACTTAACAGCCTGTGAAAATCCAATGTGATGAAAAGGAGCTTAAAATTCCCCCATACACCATGTAGAGAAAGTCTTCCGAGTCCAGGTCATGTTTAATTTGTTACCTAAACATACGCAAGTCAAACAAATGTGTTGTGTAGGTAAATGGATATCCGAGTAAGCTATCCCCGAAATCCAGACATTGTCACAGACGTGAGTATCAGGAAGTAGACAGTCTTCCACACTGGGGAAGCAGCTAATACGCTGCTATGTGAATGGCTGCTTAATGAAAATCAGATGTCAGAATCAGATGACTGAGGAGACTGCAGCTTAATCAGTGGGCACGCATACAAAAACAAGTCAATATTGTTTTTCCGGGGATATGAAAGTCCTCATGTGTTAAGGGTCAAAGTTTCTGAACAGAAATAACCTCCTATAATCAATGAAATGATAATGGGGAGTCCATGTTTTTGTTTTCTATCTTACTGGAACTCACACTTTCGATCACGTTTTTTACAGAAAGTTGATGTATTAACGATGACGACGCGCCTACTTACATTTGTGGATTTAAGCTCAAAGCTCTTCTCTTTGGGGTCCACAACAGAATGTTCCTCAACGTAAGTGCACGTTCTCGTTACCCCGATGATCTGCAGGAGAAGGACACAAACCAGGTCAGACAGCTAAATTTGGCAAACAAGTGGGTTGTGAGGACTTTAACAACATGGAGCCCTGACAGTCTTAATATCTCACATAATAATAAAAATAACAATAATGTAGGTTTTCATCTTCTGTGCCTTCCTGCTACTATTGCATTAGTTCCAGCGTTTCCATCAATCAAATCTGTGCAGATCATTTATATACAGCGGCGAACTGAGGCGGTCAACCAGCGGTCAAAGCATACACAGTGAAGTTTTCAAAGATCAGGCCGGCCAGGTGGAGTTCATCTTGAAAAAGCCGGCTATCAATCAAAAGACAGAAGCAGCTGGAACATCTCTCTCATCTCACTTACAGACTTGGCCATGGCGGGAAGCCCCCACTCTGTGCTGAGCAGTCTGGTGCTGTGTAACCGCCCATCGGTGTCCACGCTTCTGTGCAGAACGTCCACACCAAACACACCGGGGTTCATGGGGTTGGGGTATTTCTGCATTGCCGCCTTGGTCACCGTCTCCCACGGATGGCTGTCAAAAACAATATGAACATTTAGGAAGTTCCTAAAGGTCATTTAACACTCAGGGAAAGCGCTTTGTTATATTTACATTATAATACAGGTACACTGCACATCCACCAATTAAACAGGATGCATTGCCATAGTTGACATTGGAGGAAGCCAGACGGCTTAAAAGATAAGTAATAATAAAACAGCATGCTGGAATATCCACATATTTACCAACAAAAAGCTTTTTGAGTTAATGAAGTATGTGCAGGATTCAGGAGGTAAATAGAGAATATGGTCAGTAAGAAAATAATTTCTAAAAAAACGTTAAAATATCATATTGTCAATATTGTTGACTGGCGCAGAATCAAAATGGAGGAATCATAATGATTGACGGACGGGAGGAGGAACGCCCACTCCGCCTTCACCGACCTGCATTGAGGATTTAACCAGAAACGTATAGATATTGACCATTGATCCACGCGTATTATGGTCCGACGTGAACAAAAGTACCGACAACAGAGCGAGTATTGCGGCTTCTGTGCAGCCGGTTCCGTCGTGTGACAGCCGGACCGTTACGCAACATTAACGTAACGGGGACTCCAACTACCGCGGCTCAGCGGCAAAATGTAACGTTAGTCCGCGTGAAGACGCACTAATATCACGGTAATTATACCCGTGTAAGTTAACGCCGGCTTGTTTCTGAAACGTTTCAGTACGCGTTGACGTTTAAAACGACACACACGGCTGAGCGACTAACGTCAACGTACAGTATCTGATAACAAAGTTAGCTTTAAGCTAACAGACAAAACCTTTAGCTAACACTAGCTAAAGCAGCTTAACGTTATGTTACGTATATTAAATACCAACACGTTTGGATATTCGTTCAAACCACTTCAGCCGTAAAGACAAATAGACGTCAACGTTACCGAACGAGATTACTGACATTGTGACGTTCACGACACGTAACGGCGGGCGCTTGTTAACGGTTAACCTTCCCTCACGTAACAGTAACTTATGAGCAACCGTAGCAGCTAACGAGGCTAGCAGCAGCGACCCGGAGGCTAACGGGAACCAGCAAAACGGTTCCACCCGGCCGGAAAACAGGACCTGAACAGATGTACTTATTACGGCAACGTTTCGGGCAGAAAACTACTCACTTGAAAACGTGCTCTGAAGCCCAGATCTTCATTTTGTCAGGCTTTATGTCAGGGCTCGGGAGCCGGGTGCAGATGACAGCGTGACCGCGGGGAGGAAGGAAGGAGCTGAAGGAGAAGCGTTAAATGGACCCTGCGCCTGGTGGCCGCAAAAGGAACTGCAGGTAAACATCCAGCACAGTGTTATAATCAGTTCATTTATCGGGTACAGTCAAGTGTCTCTTTGAACTTTTACGTAACTCAAACACTTCTGCTTTATTATACATGTGTAATATTGTTTGGATGAAAACAGCTTGATACGTATTGAATAAATGCGAGTGAGTTTAAGTCAAGTGAATCTGTGTTTGTTTGGTCATTGCATTTTAGATATATGCAACTCTGTTCAATACAGACGCTTATAATGATGGTCCTTTAAGTTACTTAATCCTATGTAATTCCAAGTCTACTAAAGGTGGGCTTGAAAAGATGCATGACCCAAGGTAAATTATCATCAGTAAAATTATTTCATACATGCTCTACATACTCGACATACTCTGATGCATTTAAAATCAATCGACTATATAGGATTTCATATCAAATTATTAAAGAAAAAGGTTGATTGAGTTTTTGTATGGAGGAGGGACAAGTGACCGTGGAAGCTGTCAATCATCACCAGAGCTCGTTCTTATTGGGCAGGGAGATGAACGTCGCTCTCAAAACGCGTCATCACGCACATACCCGACCTGTCCTTGAAGCAATAACACGGGCAAGATGGTTGCATACTGGAGACAAGCAGGCCTCAGGTAAAAATATACATCTTACTTCCATGTAAACAGTTAGCTTTGACCAGGTTATGTCGAGAAATATTTGTTATCATAATTAAATACTTTAGCAACATTTTTGTTCTATCTAGTTACATCCTCAGAGGGCGAAATAGCATATCTTTGGTTAGCTGTTAGCATTACCACTCATGGGTTTAGTTAACGTAAAGTAGCTGTTGCATTGCGGCGCTAACGATAGTACAAACGCCTCCGATACGATAATAATGCGTCTTCTGACAACGCATGAGCTATGTTACTTGTCAGTTATGCACATTCACCGTCATTACCTTTTGCATGTATGTGTTTTCTCCCTGCAGCTACATCCGCTTCTCCGCTATCTGCGCTAGCGCATTGCGGGCTGCCATGAAGCCCGAGTTCCAAGCCATCGCTCTGAAGGCCGCAGAAGCCAACGTGAAAGTCCTAAAACCCAAAAAAGCTGCATGTGAGTTCATCACATTTTATAAGTTCCCGGTAGTGGAGTGAGACACGTCGCCACATAGTCACTTTAACACCGACTGCCATGTTAATTGTCTGTGACATTGAGCGGTGACGGTGCAGCTTTTTAGAGGTGGACGATAATTAACGTCAATGATCAAGTGAAAGACGTGCAGCCTGTTATAAAAGCTCTAGAAGAATGATGCTTTCATATACAGTACAGTGACTTTTTTTATTGTGCTGCAGTGTCATTTTGAAAGCGTATTGTAGATTCAATAACCGGTGTCATTTTAATGTTGTCCCTAATGAAGATGATCATTTTTAATTAAATAAGCTATTTTCCTTGTATAGGAAATCTGAGTCTCCAAAGTAATCATTTGAGATTATACATAGTCATCTTTAGGAATTTCTTTCTAGTTTACCTTATCCAAATCATTTTTGGATGCTCGTTTACTGTCCTGAGCCTGAACCTGCTTTTACTAATACAAAGTCCTGTAATGGGGACATTTTCAGTAATGTTTCTTTCCCTTTTCTGTTTTCCCTCCAGGATTTGAGGCTGTGATGTAGCTAGTTTTACCTTAAGGTGTGAGGTCCTTTCACTGTCCAGTCTGGCACACCGGAGAGAAGATAAAAGATGGATGACATCAAGATGACCTGATTAAAAGTTGCTGTATTTTCCCTCATTTGTAATTTAAAAGTGTATTAAAAATTGGGATTGGAAATGCATTGTTTCATTGTTTTTTGGTGAATGTAGTGTTTACAGCACTGGAGAAGATGACACATTTGTCTGTAACTATCTTTATTTTGCTACAAATTAATACAGTAGTATACATCATCATTTACCTCATTTACAGAAACCTGGTATTTACAAAGGTGTGTGTGTGTGTGTGTGTGTGTGTGTGCGCGCGCTGATCCACAAGTTTATCACGGGTTTGTTCAACTTCCTTTTGATACGATTTGCCAGTGTGTGTGTGTGTGTGTGTGTGATGTCCAGCATTAAAAATGCATGCATTGCCCAGCTGGATACTGGATAATAACTACACTACCACAAATACCATCTGGCAGGCACTTTAACTGTAATTAAGATTAATTGGAAAGTCTAGTTTAGTGCCTCCTAAATTACGATTTCATAAATTACAATTTTTTTAAATTTTTGTATGATACAGGAGAATCACATGTAACATAATTCTTGACTGGGATTGATGTGTCAATTTGTTTACGTCCCACATTATCTAAATGACACTGCAATCGAACAATAGGACTCGCTACTCCACCAAACCCTAGCTGTCTTTCTTTTCCCTGGTCATCTTGATCATTGTCTCTGGCGATCGGTACAGGAAGATGAGTTTCTCAAAGAGCGTCTCCTCCAGCTCCATCTCTCCCGTCTCGCGGACCACAAAGATGTCCGTGCAGAGCTTCAGGACCCGGTCCACACACGGCAAGTCCTCAAACATGATGGACCTGGAGATCCCGTTGAAGAACTCCCTGACGAACTTTCCAATGACCAGCACCACCGACATGTACAGGCCCACGATGCTGTGAGAAGCAGAGGGAGTGGACGTGTTGGAATAAGTTTTACCGCGATCCTGCTGGCGAGGTGTCTTGTTACTTACCCGTGACCAGCCAGAAAGCCCAGACTGGAGGGGCTGACTTTGTCACTGAACACCACTATCTCAATGCTATTACACTTGTGGTGGGAGAAGGCGAGAACAGGAGAGCACTCCTCCACCATCCACCACTGGTCCGCCCCTTTGTTGACCTGTTGAAGTTTGACTGACATGGGCCTGAAGAACGCCAGCGGTTGCAGTTCTGGCCGGTCCAAGGGCCCTGAGGTGGGACACGCCGGGGGTAAAAACAAACGAGATCGACGAGTCGTCACCTGATACTTTGAATAATATCTAGTACAATGCCGCTATGGTTTATGAAAGAAAAAATCCTCAGTATGTTCAACATGCAATAAACTGACTAACCTACTGTCATCCTGGTTGCCATTTTGGACTCTGGCCCTTTGGGACCCCTGAGGAACTTTGGTAGCAGAGAATTAATGATCCTGCGGGACAGAATAGAATGAAACTATTCATTGATGTTGCAGATGACTGTCGGTTCTAAAATGATAAATAGTTAATGACAATATTTCAGCTCTACCAGTGTCATACCTTTAGAGTTCACGTAATCATAGCCATTCCTATGTTTAAGACTCCAACGTGAAAATCTCTAGTCAGTAAACAAACTCAAACCCCAGAAGAAGACAAGCCGTAATAGCACAGCCAAGAAAACAACTGGGCGTGTGTATGTATGTTGACTGCAGCTCACACAGGTTTGCTGCTGTTGCCGTTGAGCATGTGGATTATCCCTTCTCTCAGGGCCTTGTCCTCGAACTTCACAGTTCGCTCTCCCACCGTCTCTGGGTTCATTGATATGGACGCATTCCTGAGAAGGCGAGCAGAAAGCGCCAAGTGGCACAGATACCAGTTTGTTGAATGCAACTTTGCTAAATCCCAGCCAAATGATGTTAGAATTAAGTCAACCAACAGTTTAGCCTACTGCATCTGCAATGGATTATGAAACGATAACAACACATACAAGGAAACACACTGACCTGAGCAGCGTCCAGCGTAAGGTCATGTATATATGAGAGGAGTTGCTGAGCTCTTGTACCATGGCTGCTCGACTAGCCGGGCTGATGCTCCACAGCAGACTGGCATCACTCTTAATCTTAGCGACAATGATGTCGTCCGCCATGTAGTTCATTATGAACTGCATGGCGGACTAGTAGAGAGAGGGAGAAGGAATTAGATTAACCCCGTTATTTCAATAAACGTCATCTCGTTGTTCTGAAATAAATTGAATTGTTTTGATCCCGCTGTTCTTTTCTCAATACCCCCTTTTTGTCTTATTTAATTCATTTTGTGCATGCTGTTGTCTTCATGGGCCTCACAGATGGACAGGCTTTGCCGAGGCATCTGTCCGACGAGAGACACCAAAACAATCACCGCTGTGTATCAACTTACTGCAAACCCTTTTTATGAGATCCACATTAAATAACTACATTTATCCTACAAACAGGGAAGTGCTCCCTCTCATGGCCGCAGGCAGTTATTATGATAAAGATGATCATTGCTAGTACAAATACAGTGGAAATACTGTAACGTTTTAAGAATTCATTTTCTCATATTGGTGTTTACAGGAGGTCTTACTGGATGGGTTGCGTAGACTTTGGTGAGTCGGTTGAATCCAGCTTCTGTGTACGGAACCAGGTTCTGCTCCTGAGCGCTCATGGTGAACAGAGGCTGCGGGAGGACAGACAATCTCAACTAAAACATACACGCGCACACTGGACAGCCGCTGACCCCTGAACAGCACAGTGAAGAGGGCAATGTTTCAAAAGGGTTTTTCAGCAAAAGAAGGTGTAATACTGGGGACCACCGAGCAAACAAACGCTAAACGATGAGCTTTAAATGAATCCGTTTCCATCCTGACCTCGTATCCTGCGATGCTGAGCTGGATGGAGACTTCCACCGGCTGATTGGTCACTCCGGCCGCTGACTGGACCAGGGACATGAAGAGCAGCGGGAACCAGATGATGCTGATGAGAGCAAAGATGATGAACCCTCCCAACCCATATTTCACCACCTTCTTCTTCTTCTGCCCAGGAGTGTGCGGATATTTCTGCAAGAATTATAATTAAATTACCGCAGCTCTCACCTTGTCAAATCTAAACTTATCAGATTGATGCCTTTAAAATTTTGTTTGTAATAATAAATTATAATAAACGTAATTTAATCAATACTAACACTTATTTTAAAACATCTAACCAGAATAGCGTTACCACTTTACTTAATGAACTACAAAATATTGAACTGGTCAATAGAATAGTTAAACTTAGTAAACAAATATAAATATATTATGAATTATCAACAATGAAATAACAATCTGCTAAAAACCAAAGGAGAACTTGGATTTTGAGTAAAAAACGTCATTATAATTAAACAACAGCCTTGTAGCTACAAATGGTATCAACATTTTAAAGCAGATTGTGATGTACTTAATGCTTCATAAATATCATTCAAATGTATAAACTTTGAGTGCTGCAGTAATACTACAGCGAGCAGCAGGAATACTACACGCTCTCAATTACTTTCTCGGACTCCCTCCAGCACTTGAGGATAAATATGTTTGCATAGATGTCTTCAACACAAATCCAACTGGAGAGAGACAGTGTGGTGTCAGTCCAAACCCAATCCATCACGGCCCTCAACTCCGTCAGGAAGGGAACCAAACGGAACCTGCAAGAGGAGACCAAAGGAGAAGAAAACAAATCCTAAACACTTTATGACAGGTGGTCATAAGAATTGTGTGAAGCAAAAGTGTGAAGAATGCATCTGATTCAATGACGTTAGGATAACTTCCTGCTGTTACAGGAGACATTTGTATTAATTAAAAAAGTAACCCTTACCCTTGGAAGAGGAAGAGGTTCAGGTAGTTGTAGTTCTTGGTGAGGAAGTTTCCAAGGATGCGGTTTGGGTATCCACATTTGATCTGATAGGCAGACAAGCCAAAGTAGACACACTTCACAAAGTACCAGAGCTGAGCAATGGGGTTTCTGTTGAACCTCCTGCGGAGATGAAAAAACAGATAAGGCAATATAGATGAAAACATTTCTTTGTCATTCATTTCAATTTAAAAATGAAGTCTTAAAACAACTGGAAATAGGGAGGACATAAGAGCTTCTAGTCACTCAATATACATAATATCTCATAACATTCCCCTAAAAACACTTTTCTGTTTTCATCCCTTTCTTTGACGTAGCTTTTGGAAATTCATTTCTACCTTTATTTCTATCCCACATGCTTTTTATAAAGCACATAGATCAAGAAAGTGGTTTAATAAATTAGGTTAGGAAGTTAGGAAGTTGACCTCTCTGTGACCCCAGGGAGGATGAAGAACATCCAGAAGTGTATGCCGAACACCAGCACAACCTGGAAAACACACTTCCCCAGCAGGGACTTCTTTAGGTAGAGCGCCCGGTCCACTATCATGGTGCCGAACTGCATGAGCAACATGACCAGGAAGGCTTCTGGAACCTGGTCCTCCGAGAGCGACTCTGTGATGTCCGCGGATGCTGAATATTTCTACAGACAGAGATCATCATGGTTGGTGTCGCACTGAACGTACCGTGCATTTAAAGTGCTGAACATTGATAGTTTGATGACAGGCAGGTCAGACTCTTACTCCAAAAGCCCAGTAGCCATAGATAGTGACGATGAAGTTCACCACGTCGATGAGAAACATGAGGGCGTAGACGTCACACACAGGGCTGTATTCCGGGTGGATGATGTCATAGAAGAACTGTCTTATGGGTAAGTAAATATGAAGGGCGCTGTAGAAAAAAACAGAATATACAGTGTCAAAACACTTTTTTCCCAATCTTGCCATGTTAACAAACTATTGCCATGTTTAATCAGTAAAAGGATGCTGAAATGTCACGAGGTTCGTCTGCAACGACGCACACTTCTACGATGGCGGCTCTGGCCTGAAGCATCCTCTCTTTGAACTGCTGTCTCATCCTCTGCTTTCTGGTCAGCGGCACCTTGTTTCTTTGTCGCCTGTTGTTCTTGCTGTGATGCTTCTTAGGCTTCATCCCTACATTAAAAAAATAAACGTGAAATGGAGAAAGTTTAGTCATGAATGATGATTAATGTCAACTACCTGTGACAAAAAA